GAAAAACTATAGATACAAAAGTTGTAGATGTTTTTATTATCTACAACTTTGCCATTGAACTTTTTTCGATAGGACTTGTAGTTTTGCCGGAAATCGAGATTTACCGATTTTTACCCTTAAAAACTCCCCCCCTACCCCTTCCCAACCTCAGATCGCCCGTAATTTATTTTTCCTATCATTTTAGTGGTATTCCCTTGCTTGTAATCCCATGGTAATCGATGATTATCAGATCCTGATCTGACAGTCATCGATTACCATGGGATCATCTGGAAAGTATATATTCTTTCAAACCAAAAAAATAATTTCCCAAATCGGTTCGAGAAATCGGGGAACAGAACATACATAACCAAAAAACAACGAATTGAGAACCGCCTCCTTTTTTCGAAGTCGGTTAAGAAGTAGGTAAAAACAAATCAATTAAATTATTATATAGTAACATCTACTTAAATTCACATAAGAACTTTCATAATTACGACTAAATTGGGTTCATAATAATAACACCAATTTGTTTCCTCTCTCTTTTTTTTAAATACGTTACCCCCACAGAAGGATTTTCTCCAGTATAGTGGAGGCAGTTTACAAACATAAATTGCACAAGGACAAACATCCAGACCCGGAACAACTATTTGTAGGCCATACAAATATTTGTTCCGTGCGGGATTCGAAACCGTGGCCCCCAGCGCAGCCTCATTGCTAAGCCACTGCGACACGGAGCTTTCAATTGCGGTTTGAATTTATGTTGTCATTCAAAAAAGAATCGCAATATGTAGGTACGCGATGACGCCGTCGCTTTGCGTCACTCAGGAGTGCGCGTGCGCATGTGTGTGCGCATTAGCTTCTTACTGCTCATCACAGCGTCTATGCCTTTCGCACGTAATGTCGGCTGAGATAGCATGCATTTTAACCCCGCCTACCATTTAGTTCGAGCTATTGACTAGGGCCACCTTAAATCTAAATGAGGGCGATGTGGCCAATCGCTCAATACGTCACGGTCAAGGGGTCGCTACAAGCCGTCGCGGTGCATTCCGTGCATTGATTTACTAATTAATCTGATGTTATAGGCAACATGGATTACAATTTATGGCTACACCACTTCTTACATTTAAGTGGAATTAAATTTGTAAATAAATACGTAGTAAATAGTGAAGCACTCACGCCTGTCACCCAGAGGGTTAGGCAGAGACTACGGACTTCCATTTGGCACGATCCTGACACGCCTCCTTTACATCCATATATTTACACATACATGCTCGTCGGTTAAGGGTACTCCTAATGTGGCCCATTTTCAAAATATCGCTAATTTGGTCGATAAACTTTCGTCTAGACCCTTCCCGACTCTGCCGTTCACACCTACCATATAAATTTGCTCTGTCACTCTTTCCTCATTCATTCTTTCTAAATGACAAGATCACCGAAGCATTCCTTTCTTAATCCTGGCCACAACATCACCTTGCATACCACATTTTTCTCTTATTACACAATTTCTCACCCTGTCATTCAGATTCAGCCCTAGCATACTCCTTAAAGACCGCATTCCTACAGCAATTATTCTACTTTCGTGCTTCTTCTGCCACACCCAACTTTCACTACCATACATTAAAGTAGAGATTAACACAGCATTATGAATTACCATACGTGTCTTTCTTTGACACATTCTGACTCTTCATAATAGAGTGTAGAGCCCATTCACTCTATCCATCCCTGCTAAATACACGAACTCATCCATTTTCTCAATCACCTCCACTTTTATTTTTATTTCACATAACGTTTTACTTTCTTCTCTTTCAAAAACCATCACTTTCGTCTTCCATTCCCCTTTCTTTTAATGCCCAGTTGATTCATGTAGATACTGTCCATTATTGTAGTAGGTTGAACAGCCACGGGGAAGCTACACAGCCCTGTCTAACACCTTTTTGGATGCCAAACCAGTCAGAGTAGACCCCGTTGATCCTGTCACAAGCACTAGAGTTCCTATAAAGAGACCTTAATGATTGTATCAAACCAGCGCTCAACCCAAATGAGTTCAGTTTTTGCCATAACACAGTCCTGTCCACTCTGCCATAAGCCTTTTCCAAGTTCATGAACGTACAAAAAGCTTTCTGGGTTTTTGGCCAAACACTTCTCCACAATCATGCGCATGGAAAAGACACGAATTGTACACCCCTCTCTCTTTCTAAATCCTGCTTGCACATCCTAAATTTTTCCATCAGTTTCTTTCATAACTCTTTCAATTAACACCTTAGCATACAGTTTACCCACAATACTAAGCAAGCTGATACCACGGTAGTTTTTGTAGTCTTGCTGGGACCCTTTTCCTTTATATATTTACAACGTATTTAATGTAAGTAATGAGGGAAAGCAATTTTCCTTATCGCCCGAGTTGCTCAAATGGCATAAGCAGCTCTGTCGTCACCAACAATACGAGACAGGTGAGGGAGAGGCGTTGAAGGCACAGAAAAGTTTTCAGGGAGGACTAGTCTAAAAAAAATGTTGATAATAAGAACAAAAGCAAATCAAAATCTTTACCAACGAAAACTTTAAGAATGATAGTAATTTTTCTTCATTAATTAAAAATAAACACGTGGTCCTGACTAGAAAACTTAATCATCTCCAAGCGAGACTCGTCAGAGATTGCGACGTTTTGGGACTTAGCTTATTTCAGACATTCTTTTTGTAATATATTTGTGTCGTTCCTAAATTAATTTACTGAAACCTATGCCTCAATATTAATAGAAAAATTGGTTTAATAGATGCCAATAACTTCAGTTTTATTACATTCAGCGGCACAGAATTTTGGCCAAGCCCTTATCTTTCGATAACAAAGTTGTGAGTGTTTAGAATTAATATTTCTTGAGAAGGAAAGTCAAAAAATGCTTACGACGTGACCAAATGTTTGAGTGCGGCGTCACATTTGTTTCAAGCTTTAGTTGAATCCATTGATAAGAGTGTAGTTGAATCGGGTCATTTAAGCGACTAACTTGGATTTCTAAACTTAGGATTGTGAAAAGTGTACCTCACTGAACTTTGTGGTTTTTTGCATTTAATCCAATAATTAAAGGTTCAATAAAACTAAAAAAATACGTGTGGCACTCGGTGACTGCCGCGGTAAAGCTATTGCATAGCATTTTTTATCAACTTATGCAATTATAATTATTTATTTATTTTATTTATGCAGTTAAGTCCTTTGATATTAAATCAAGTTACACTTTTTGAACGTGGTGACCGATAAGAAAACAATTTTTTTCTCTTATTGAATAAATGAGAAGTTAATATTGTTTAAAATACTTTTAATATCTTACAATACATGTAGGTTATTCAGGAATTTTTATCATTGAGTTAGCAGCTAGTGTACACGCATACGTCTAGTCGCACGCACACAAACACCGTGCCGAAGTCTGCCGAGTGCCGAAGTCTGCCGAACTGAAACGACGTTAGACGATGCACGGCTTTCAACGCCACACCTCCGTGCCCGTCGGAGTGGGGAGCGTGAGGTTTTTTTTCGTTACGGAATTTCTGGATTCGGTCCCCGCGCTCAAGGCCCGCGATAGAAGCTAATGTTTCGTATGGTGAGTGTAGAGAACCGAAAACCCTTTTTACTGGAAATGAGGCATTCCATCTTAGTCCTCACGGGTGACAACGCATCTGCATTTTGATTTGTAATCGAGGATAGATGTAGATGTCTATGGGCTGCAGCAACCACTTACCATCAGGTGGACTGTGTGCTCGTTTGCCAATCTATCCAATAAAAAAAATTAAAACTGTATTCTTTGGAGTAAACAGGATACTTAGATTACATAAATAATTATTGAATAAATGAAGTTAATACTGTTTAAAATATTTTTAATATCCTACAATACATGTAGGTTATTCAGGAATTTTTATCATTGAGTTAGCAGCTAGTGTACACGCATACGTCTAGTCGCACGCACACAAACACCGTGCCGAAGTCTGCCGAGTGCCGAAGTCTGCCGAACTGAAACGACGTTAGACGATGCACGGCCTTCAAGCCACACCTCCGTGCCCGTCGGAGTGGGGAGCGTGAGGTTTTTTCGTTACGGAATGAATTTCTGGATTCGGTCCCCGCGCTCAAGGCCCACGATAGAAGCTATGCAATAGCTTAAAAAATGCTCTTAAAACTCACTCGGTTGCACGAGCCGTAGCATTAATCGATCAACGGTTGACACAAGGTGAAGTGGCCATAGCACTTTAATGTACCACGTTCTTTAATGCAGTATGCTATGAGACGATACCACCAGGTAGCAGAGGTTTAAGATGCACATCAGTCCCGGACGATCGCTTCATTGTCCCAGCAAAATCGCTACCTAACCGCCGTTGAAATCCGTCAGTGGCTCCAAATCACGAGGGTTGTTCATGTTAGCGAACGCAAGATGAGAAAACGCATAGTGGAAGTGGATTTTAAAACCCCTAGACCAGCACGCACCCAGAACTGTGTACGAGTTAGGATTGCATTACGCGCATCAGACGGTCGAGAACGAGTATGGAAAAAAGAGAAGAACGATTTCTACCCATCACCACTACGCAAACAGTAGGGGAGAGGCGTACAAAATGACATAGGTGGGTCAAATGACATACCTACTTTTGTCCGAAACCACAGACTTATTAGTTTTCACAATGGCTTGTAAAGTATCGCTTAGTAACAGGTCGCAACCTGTGGCAGCACCAGTCGCGTTCGTTGGGCCGTGTGGTGCGGACACATGTTTGTTTAATTTTTGCAGTCACGAGTTATAAGCAGGTGGATTTTGTTTCTCGTACAAGTAAGTAGTTTTTACTTTAATTTGTTTTTATTTATCATTTATTTATTGTAATTTTACTAAATAACTTCGAGAATGTTTTGGAAACTTAAAATTCTAGTAAAATTTTTAGTTATTGTTTTCTAATGTTGAAGGTTATGAAGTGGACAAAATGGCATACACCTTGTTCGGGTAAAATAGCATACTATGTCATATGACCCACCTTTTTTTTCCAGATAATTGTACATCATGCCACGCAACTATTCTAGAAAAACAGACAGACAGGATTGGGATAAAACCTCCATGGAAAAGGCTATTGAAGCTGTAAAGAATAATGAAATGGGCTGGCTATTGGCTTCTAAAGTGTTTAACGTCCCACAATCGACTCTTAGAAGACATGCACTGAAACAAAATAAAGTCTTAGCTCCAACTACAAAAGGTACCTACTTAGTATTTTTTTTTTATTTTCGCGTTTTGTTCGCATGATTAGAGCGGATTTAAACACATACCTTTGTTTTAGGTTTGGGTAGGTACAGGAGTGTCTTCACATATGAAATGGAACGAGAACTGGTAGAACATATTAAATTACTAGAAACGAGATTGTTTGGATTCACAAGAAAGGAAGTTTTGGAATTGGCGTACCAGTTTGCAGACGTTAATAATATTCCTCATAACTTCAACAATGAAAAAAAGATGGCAGGCAAAGAATGGTTGGCTGGATTTCGACGAAGACACCCGGACATATCCTTGAGGAAACCTGAAGCGACTTCAGCTGCAAGAGCCCAAGCCTTCAACAAGCCCCAAGTAGCACTGTTTTTCAACACTTACCAAGACATTATTCAGAGCAACAACATTTCTCCACATAGGCTCTACAACGTCGATGAGTCAGCATTATCAACAGTCCAGAGACCCCAAAAGGTCTTTGCTACTACTGGGCGTAAGCAGGTTGGGGCTTTGACTAGTGCTGAAAAGGGGTAGGAGTTGATAGACGAAGCTCCTACCGGTACTATGAGTATTGCGCAGGAATCAGGTTGGATGACAACAGCTGTATTTTATAAATGGTTGGTGCACTTTCAGTTGCATGTAAAAGCGAGTCTTGATGACAAAGTGCTTTTAATAGTTGATGGACATATCAGTCATAAAGGTATTGAAAGCTTAACATTCGCAAAAGAGCATGGAATTATTATGGTGTGCTTGCCACCTCACTGCACGCACCGCATGCAACCATTAGACGTGTCTTTCTATGGTCCATTGAAGACTTATTTTAATCAAGAAGTGAGCACTTGGTTAAAGAGCCATCCAGGTAGAGTTGTTACTCACTTTCAAATAGGCGCAATACTCAATAAAGCTTATGGCAAAGCAGCAACGGTTCAATGGATTTCAAAAAACTGGTCTCTGGCCTGTTGATCCATATATATTTCCAGATTATTTGTTTGAGCCTGCTGAGACGACAAACATTCCCATGCAACAAGATCAGGTAGAGCCCGAAGAAGATTCAACGGCAGCAGAAAACCTATGCATACCCTCAGCGGGTCCATCTCAGGTAGAAGCAGGGAGTTCGACATCACTAATAATTGCAAGCACATCAGCCGCAGACAACCCACGTCCACTCTCAGTAGTCCAATCTAGAGACACAGCTACTGCTATACCTATGACACCCACATCATCTAAATTGATACTCCAAGAAATATCTCCAGTGCCAAAAGGAATTTATGTGGCTGGACAAGGCAAAAGAAAACCACGCAAGAAACCAACAGTATTGGTGTTAACTTCAACGCCAAATATAGAAGAGGCAAAAGCAAAATCAGCTCCTCCACCTGTTCCAAAGAAAAACACGAGAAAAGTTACAAAAGCTCTGGATTTTAGTTCCGACAGTGAAAATGATTTCTCTTCCTTACAAGCTCAAACTGAAGCCGGAGATGATGATGAAGATTGCCCTTGCATTTATTGCAATGACCTCTACTCCAGGTCCAAGCCAAAAGAGGTCTGGCTAAAGTGCTTGAGCTGTAAAAGATGGGCTCATGCATCATGTGCAGATGTTCCGAAAAATACAAAACGTTTTACGTGTGAACTCTGCATGTAATCGACTGATTTTCATAAAAAATTTGGTATGCCATTTTGTCCACACCACGTGTGTCATTTTACCCGCCTAGGGTAGACATAACGGTTTTTGTTCAAGTTTGAAAAAAATATTAATAATTTTATTGTTTTTGCACTAAGTTGATTGATCTCTATAATTTTAATAGGTAATGAACCAAAGAATACATAGTTACTTAAAGTGTTCACTATTATTAATAAATATAGATTTTATGACTGATTTTATAACTAGTATGTCATTTTGTACGCCTCTCCCCTATGTTTTCACGGAGGCTCCATAATAGTGTGGGGAGGAATAAGTTCCGACGCTCGTACAGAGTTGGTATCATCAACAACCGGCTAACAATTGCTCGATACGTAAAGAGATCCTACAGGATCATGTTTTGTCTTATTTAGGATTCATTGGACACGATGCGTTTCTTCGAATGCACGACAATGCACATCCACACGTAGCGCATTGCGTGAACGAATACCTTCAAGAGATAGGTATTCAAATATTGTAGTAGCCAGTTCGTAAGTCCAGTCGAGCATATCTAGAACATAATTAAAAGAAAGATTAAATCTGCTCCTAGCCCATCACAAACTCTTGATCAGCTCTGAAATGCAGCATAAGCCACTTGGACAACCAACCGGTAGTTGATGTTAAAAACTTCATCTAGAGTATCATCATTTTTTTACGTGGTAGAGCCACGCTGCAGCTATATCATGATTGTAGCATGAATGGGTCAACTGGGGAAGGACCACGCTCTCACAGAATACCAGCGTAAAATAGCAGCTTAATACTGCTGTGTTTCGTATGGTGAGTGTAGAGATACGGAGACCCTTTTTTACTGGAAACAAGGCATTCCATCTTAGTCCTCAGGGTTGACAACGCATCTGCGTTTTGATTCTTAATCGAGGATAAATGTAGATGTCTATGGGCCACAGTATCTACTTACCATTAGGTGGACTGTGTACTCGTTTGTCACCCTCATTCTTTTGACATTCTTTTGACAAAACATGCCATACCGAATACAGGCAGTTATCAGAGCTAAAGGAGGAAAAACACGGTACTAATGTGTAGACAATGGTGTAAGAAATTGCTTCCTCTTTATCTTCTATTTTTTTTAAATTTAAATGTTGAAAATGACACTTTTCTTTGAAAGTCTGTAGTTTTTATTAACCCCCGCTACAAACATAATTGATGGTGTAGTTATCTTTTAATAATCATGAAAAAGTACTGAAAAATAAAGAGAGACATTTATAGTGCCCAGCCAGTATTAATTGAAGTAAAAAGTATTTAAAGGCAAGCTGTCGCAAAATTTCTGTGGCAGTAAGTGTAATACTAAATAATAAAATTCCTTTCATGATTTGAGGGAAAACAGTTTATACAACATCATATTTATTCTTAAAACCGAAATAACAAATATTTAATATTTATCTATTATTTATCTTATGATAACATTAAAAGTCTTCACAGCTGCTTTTTCTATCTCCTTGTGCACTTCATTGACTTCAGCCTGTTTAAGAGTACGTTCTAAATGTCTATAAATAATGCTGTAGCATAGACTATGTTTCTTTGATTTTGGATGTACAAATTTATCCTTGAGCTTCACCTGCAATACAAAGAAATGAGGTTATTATAACACATCTCTATGAAAATTACAAGGGTTATAAAATCTTCAAATATGTACTTTGAAGCTAATTTTTTACATTAGTGATGTTATGTAAGTTTTTATTGAAAAAGGGTGACAAACTAGCACATAGTCCACTTGATAGTAAGTTGATGCTAATAATTAGAGATGAAACGGATATCCGGTAACTATCTGGTATTCGGTCTATCAGGCCTATAATTACTATCCGGCCGGATACCGGATAACAAACAGCTATCCGACCAGATACCGGATTATAAAAAACACAAATTATCAAATTTAGTTAAGTACTTCATTTATGTCACTTAGCAAATATAATCAGTACTTAATCACAAAATATTCATTTTAAAACTTAACTAAGGCACAATAAATAATAGTACTACGTAGCTACGTACTACTAGTATAGTAATTGTAAGCTATTATTTGAAAAAAAAAATAGTCCCGCTGGGTTTCTTGCTGGTTCTTCCCAGGACAGAGGTTTTTTTGCGAACCAGTGGTAAATGAAAAAAATAATTTCAATAAGTACTGTTTATAATGTACATTGAATAAAAAAGTTTCAGTTTCTGTTAAGGGCAAATTATGGTGAATAAATACTAATTTCTCTGTATTAAAAGGTAACAAGCGGTTTCGCCTGTCTTCATATACAAGGCCAGGTTCAAAAAGTCTTTCGCTGTACACACTGCTGCAGGGTGTTGAAAGATAGATTTTGGCAAACTTTGATAAATTTGGGTATTGTGTAGCAATAATAATAATAATAATAATGATCTCCAGACCGAATTTCGGTCACGGCGGCCTGCCACAATGGAGACTAGCCATCGGCGCAGGACAGGATTATAGTGCCCAAGTGTATGTGCAAGCACAGGTGCACTCTCTATACCTCACTCTCATTGCATGATCCGATGGGACGGTAAACCGATACGACCGGAGTGAGATCAGGCGCAGGACCAACGGCTTTACGTGCTTTCCGAGGCACGGGGATGAAACACCGCCAACTTCCTGACTCCGGGCAACTGCAATACCTGCCCACTAAATATAAGAGTCACGATCGCGAACAGTTTGCACTGACTTTACTTTTCGCTTCTTGCTATGCAACAAACGGCAATGTTCGCGGCTGGATATCCAGATATCCGGCTATCCGGCTATCCGGCAATAAATAACTGGCCGAATTTCCAGTATCCGGCCAAACACCTATCCGTTTCATCTCTACTTATAATATTCAAAATGCAGATGCGTTATCACTTCTGAAAACTAAAATGGAAAGCCTCGTTTCCACTAAAAAGGGTTTCAAGGTTCTCTACACTTACCATCCGAAATAGCAGCATTCTATTGTTTCACTCTGGTATTGTGTGAGAGCATACATCCTAACCCAGTCGGGCCAACCCATTTGTGGTGCAGCTATGTATAGCTCGCATAGCTGTAACGAGGCTCTACCATGTGGCAAAAATCAATATGTACAGTTACAGGTTGTAGGGCTTATAGATTAGACACGCAGCCGTTCGGGTTTTCACCGGTTTTGTGGACTCTGGTAGATGGCGCAATAATAAACGTAAAAACAGTATAAAAAGCCTGTCCGATCTGTGAGCATATATCAGTTTCGCTATTACATTGTAGAATTTAATAACCTTGAAGAATAAAATGTTATTGAATGGGGAAACATACACGAAAACTTCGTACTAAAGGTGCAATTGCAAGCGGTGTCACAAGGTCATCTTTGACTAGCTAACTCAGCAGTTTTTTGTTGTATATTGATTGTTGGAAATAATTATTTTATACAGCTTGTACAGCTCTCATATGTAAAGACTTAGTAATTACTCGTCAAATGCATCCATTCCACAATACCCTTACTATATAAACTGCCATGCTAACACCGTGACATTTGACTAGACTGTCTGTACAAAATGTAGAAGCATTAAACTGCTATGTTATACTGGTACTTTGTGAACCGTGTAGTGGTAGTGTAGGAATATGTACTACCCCATTTCATCCAGTGGATATAGTAAGAGACGACAAAAGGAAACTGAAACCGGCAATCAGAAGAAGCATCTTCCTGATAACAATTCAAAATAATAAAAAAACTGCAGTCGCCAACTTGCCTAGCAAGCATGGTAAATATGGCAAATTCTGTGAGGCAACTTATGAAGGAGGCCTATGTTCATCAGGGGACCTTTATAGGCTTAAGAAAGATATAGTAGTAAGAAGATAATCTTAGAAATCTTTCTATTTTATACAGGGTGTTAGTGTAAACACCGT